ACCTCCTCAATAACTTGTGTAATTCCCTCAAACCAAAGTTTTCTTTCAATCACCTCTAAAGACCCCCAAATTAGTAGCAGCCTCTGTCACTTGCCACACACCACCCCATGAGAGCTGAGACCCCCGGCAACAGAAATGCGTTTGACACATCTTTGTGTCCTCCACTGTCCTGTGCATGCAAATATTTGTTGAAATGGTGAATGATCTTATAAGCAAAAAATCATATTCAATTAACTACCATTCTGCCAATTAACCAGACATTGGGAGCAGGTGAAACACAATAAAAACAGGCAACTTCACATACATAGCAATTTAGAAGGAATCAATTCAATCTCCTATGCTTTCTATTCTTCAAGTACAATCACCCCAGAAGGATAACCAGGTACTACTAGGCTCACTTCAAGTTAAGGAAAGTATATTGAATTGTTTGAATGACAAAAACATTTTGGTAGTGGGAGAGCCTTCTATAAATAAATCTTTATAAAATGTCCGTCACCTCACACCACACCAGTTTATAGCTTTTAGAGATGATAAACTATCTACAATCCCAGAGGAAACATCTTAATCTTAAGGAAATTAAATAGCAGTGCATTCATTCCAAAACACTGTTTTGTCTGGAAGATACTCTCATGGTTGGTCAGGAAAGTCAAACAGCCAGATAAATTATAATGTGAAAGATGGACTGACTGCTTCATTTAGGGGTAAATAAAGTCTTCCTTCTTAGAGTGATAAAAAGTCACCATTTCTCTATAGGACAGAGGGGTGATAATTTCTCAAAATATGGTGTACATGATACCCCTTCAAAATGGGAAAATACATTTAGAATCATTTAGAAAAACAGCTCTGCTGTAACCTTGATAACTTTCACAGGTCAAAGCTTAAGCTTGGATATAACAGAATCATCAGCGATTAAGAAAGGAATTGATTTTTTTTTCTGAGACATCACAGGAGGTATCTTTGCTGATTGATATATAGTCATCCTTCAAAGTTAATAATTATAAGATCTACACTCAATTTTTACATTGAATTTCAGTAACAAAACTTGGCTTATAGCTCTGGCTAGTGTAGCTCTGTGGATGAGCACAGGCCTGTGAACCAAAGGGTCATCAGTTCCATTCCTAGTCAGGGCACATGCCTGGGTTGCAGGCCAGGTCCCAGGTAGGGAGTGTGTAAGAGGCAACCACACATTGATGTTTCTCTCCCTCTCTTTCCCTTTTCCTCTCTCTAAATATAAATAAATAAAATAAAATAAAATTAAAAAAAGAAAAGCCCTGGCTGGTGTAGCTCAGTAGATTGAGCGCGGGCCTGCGAACCAGACAATAGCGGTTCGATTCCCAGTCAGAGCACATGCCTGGGTTGCAGACCAGTTCCCTGCAGGCCAGTTCCCAGCAGGGGGCGCACAAAAGGCAACCATACATTGCTGTTTCTCTCCCTCTCTCCTTCCCTTCCCCTCTAAAGATAAATAAATAAAATATTTTTTAAAAAGCTAGGCTTATAACTATGTTTCTGTATGTTCTATGCCTGCTTTCATTTGATCCAATTTATAATTTCTACCTTAAAATATCATATATAGAAAACAGGCATATAGCTTCCATTTTGCCCAAAGTTGAGATATGAAAAAATAGAAAGTAAATAACAAAACACCTTTAATACCTTCTGAAATAATGGTGCTGAATTCATTCATCGAACAGTAAAAAATACTTATAGATTTTATGGACTGTTTTAGAGTTTATTTGTTTTTTTTTTCAAAGCTCCACTAACTTCCCTAATTGAGTAATTATCTAAATAGATGTAATATCACCCCTAGCTTCAGATTTTACTCACTGAAGTAAGCACTAGAATTTAGCAACAAAAACTTGAAATAAACAAACTGTTAGAACACTGGGGACAGGCTTCTCAGGTTTACTGCAACTTATTCCAGAATTTAAAAAAAAAACAAAAAAAACCCTAAAGACTGGTAGATAGACTACCAAATAATCTGAATATAGAAAAAGAAATCAATATTAGCTGTATCATATTGAGGAAACAGAAGGTTAAAAAGTTTTTCTTGAAATGCTTTTTACTTCATATAATAAAAAAGTTAATTGTGTTAATTTAACATATTATTGAAACTCAAAAATATTATTTTCCCCAGTCAGTGATATAACCAATACCAAAAATTAATATTCAAATATAAGTTTTATCGAATTACATTTTAACAAAACACTTTTTTTGAATTTTATTGATTATACTTTCACAGTTCACCCAATTTTTCCCCATTTGTCCCCTTCATCCAGCACCCCCCACTTGCTCCAGTGACTGATTCCCTCCTTCGTTCATGTTCATGGGTCATGCATACAAGTTCTTCAGCAACTCCATTTCCTATACTTGCTCTTAAAATCTCTGTTGTGTAACTACCAATTTGTACTTCTTAATCCTTTCAGCTTTTCTCCCATTTCCCCAGAACTTCCTCCCAACCAGCCACCATTCCAACGTTCTCCATATCTGCAATTCTGTTTCTGTTGTGCTTTGTTTGCTTAGTTTGTTTTTTCAGATCCAACTGCTGATAGTTATGTATTTATGGCCATTTTAATGTTCACAGTTTTTATCTAATTCTTATTCTTAAATAAGTCTCTTTAAAATTTCACATAATAATTGTTTGATGATGATCAACTCCTTTACCTTTACGTTTACCTTGTCTGGGAAGCACTTTATCTGCCCTCCAAATCTAAAGGATAGCTTTGCTGGATAGAGTCATCTAGGTTGTACATCCTTACTTTTCATCACTTTGAATAATTCTTGCTAGTCCCTTCTAGTCTGCAATGTTTCTTTTGAGAAATCAGCCAACAGTCTCACAATAACTCTTTGTAAGTAATTATAAATTTGGCACTTTAATTATGATGTGTCTTGGTATGGTCCTTCGGGACCAAGGGTATGGTATAATTGGATATAACTTATTTGGGACTCTCTGTGCTTCCTAGACTTATATTGCTATTTCCTTCAACAAATGGAGAAGTTTTCTTTCATTATTTTTTCAAGTAGGTTTCCAATTTCTTATTCTTTCTCTTCTTGTTCTGGCACCTGTTATGCAAATGCTGGAACACTTTAAGTTGTTCCAGAGGCTCCTTACACTCTCCTCAATTTGGGGGGATTCTTTTTTCTTGTTGCTGAAGGATTTGATGTCTTTTTCTTCCTTGTGTTCCAAATCATGTTTTGATTCTTGGTTTCATCTACTCTGCTGTTGGTTCTCTGTAAATTGTTCTTTATTTCAACTAATGTCTCCTACATTTCTGATTCCATTAATTTTTTATGCTACTGAATTATCTTGAGCATCTTTATTGTAAGTGTTTTGAACTGTGCATATAAGATCGCTTATCTCCATTTTGTTTAGTTCTTTTTCTAGAGTTTTGTTCTGATCTTTCATTTGGGCCATGTTTTTTTGTGTCCTCATTTTGGAAGCCTCCCTGTGCTTGTTTCTATGTATTAGGTAGAGCTGCTTTGACTCGGTGTCTTGGTAGTGTAGCCTAATATAGTAGGTATCCTGTAAGGTTCAGGAGCACAGCCTCCCATATCCCCTAAGCTGGGTACTCAAGGTACACCCTCTGTGTGGGCTGAGTACTTCCTACTCTTTTTGTTGATTCTGACTGCTGTCAGGACTGGCTGTGACCACTGGCCAGCAACCACCTCCCTTCATAACTTGTGGAGGTGGCTGGATGGTGGTGTTCCTACTTGGTCTATAAGGGTCCACTGGGTGTTCAGGCTCTGGGGTTTCCCAGGTGGTGTAGGCCAATGTGAGCACCACCTGTGTTCTGTCTGGGACCCTCTGGTGTAAACTATAAAGCAATTAGCAGATAGCTGCTGCTAGTACCAGGCCTGTGAGAAGAAGGAGGGCTGGGTTCAACTGTTGCTCCTTTGAGCAGATTTAGGAAGGTCTGAAGCCTGAGCCTAGCCCAGCCATTCATATGGAAAAGCCACTGTTATCAACTTTGGTGGGCCTGTAAATTGGCTGGGGCACAGCCTTAGCTAATAGTCAGGGCAGGGTTAACCATATTAGCCAAGTTGATAGACTCAGATATGGTGCAGCCACTGTGGCTCTGTGTGGGAGAGGGCTCAGAAAAGGCACAATGGCTGCTGTCTGCAGTTCTGTCTGGGAGGAAGCTGTACCCAGATCTTGCCCTTATGACAGACACTTTAGTTCCTTCCTGTACACAACTGGTGCCCTTCAAGATGCTGCCCTGGTGTCAGAGCTCAGACGGAGTGAGTCTGAGTAAGTCTGTGTCAGGGCCCTCCAAGAGGAGATGCCTGAGAATCTTGCAATTTCTGCTGGGCCACGCCCACTGTTTTTTACAGCCAGAAGTTATGGGGACTTATCTTCCTGGCACTGGAACCCTGGGCTGGGTGTTCTGATGTGGGGCTGGTATCCTTTGCTCCCAAACTATTCTTCTATTTTTTATCTACCACACATGGGTTTGGGACCAGTCCATAATGCCTCTCCATGTCTCCAACCTCCACCCCTCCTACTGTCTAGATGAATGATTTTTTAATTCTGTAGTTGTCAGACTTCCATACAGCTCAGTTTTCTGTCTATTCTGAGTAATAGTTGTGCTGCAGTTTGGCTGTAATTTTACCATGGTTATGTGAGGAGGTGAGTCGAATTTACCTTACACCTCCATCTTGCCTGGAAGTCTCAAAAACACTTCTTTACAACATAATTTGAAATGTCAGAAAATACTCAAGTGGGGCTCACTATTACGTTGGGAGCTGCTGAAAGATCAACCCAAAATAAATTAATACTGCTATTTTAATGTTAGCAGTAAGACTGTATTATATCATTCAATAACAGAGAATGTACTTTTAAAAAATGTATGAGGATTTCTATTGGAATTCATTAATACCAATATTGATGATCATATTTGAGGACTATGGTAGCATTACTGTATTAGGAAACAACAGACAAAAAGTAAAATTCAGAATAACTCAGGAACACAGCCAAAGAAACCACAATAATAAAAATGGCTTACTTTGACATGGCTCTGGGCTCCAAGATTGTAGATCTCTGTAGGCTTAACTTCATTAATGATCTTCACAAGGCAGGTACTGTCAGTGAGATCACCATAGTGCAATTTCATATCTTTAGGATTCAAAAACATAGCATTAGATAAAAGAAAATAACATAAACCCAATTTTCTAAAATAGTAAAATTGAAATGCATATTCTGAAAGTCTAAAAGCCAGACTGGTTCTAGAGCAGCAGAGTCTTAAAAACTCACTGAAGTAGTAAGAACATAGTCACATTTGTTGCTTGTGTCTCTACAGGATTTATAAAAACTCAGATGAAGTTTTTAAAAAAATTATAATATTATGACAGACATTACATAATTAACGTATCTTACAGCTCCCAGGTAGTTTTACACAAGAGTGTTACATATGTGTTACATATGTGTCCTGATGACTTCATGTGATCCATGAAATGCCTGAGATAGTGACATAACTGATTAAAGGACAACTAGCCTTACTCTACCTCGAAATCTAAGCAGATCCTTACATTGACTTCATTAGGCAATGACATATATATATGAGCAATTTAATAACTTGATCTTTTCATTATGTTTATACAATATTGATTTATGTCTAGATCCATGGTAGTACCATTCTGTACTTTACACAAAAATGGTAATAACTTTTAAGGATGATATAATGAATGACTTAAATATAAGATGAAAAGCCTTTACTACAAACAAGGTCATCTTTCTATTATAGCACTACCTGCACAAGTAACTCAAGTTTTCAAATATTCCAGGCTCTTAGGTGAATATAAAATCACTTATGATTTACAAGCTGACTGGATTATCCCTGCTGGCTAGTAAAACTGGAGAGCAAAGGATGATAAACTTTAAAAATTTTTACCATCCTTTGGAAGTTAAAAAATTCTACATCCTAGTCCCAGCTCTGTCTTTTACATGGTATGTGGCCTTAAAAAGTCATAACCTCTCTCTGCCTCCATTTCCTCCTTTGTAAAATGATCTCATTCAGAACGTTGGGAGCTGCTGAAAGATCAAATGAGAAAACACAGTGACTATACTATGTAAACCATAGAACTACCTACAGGCAACTTCATTAACAAAAGTAGCAAAAAACTGTAAATACTAACAATGATCTACATAGCAATTATGTACAGTTTTTATTTGGTTTGGGACTTGTCTTCACAAATTATTTTTAAAATTAATTTAATGTACAAAGAGAGCTTAAACCTACTTAAATTGGACCAAATTTTAAAAGCAAAAGAGTCCTCTGTGAATATGGAAGTGATGTTATTTGAAGGGATAGGAACGCCAGAAAAAGGGTGATCAAAGGGATGTCTACTCTTGGTCTCTACGGTGGTGTGACCTGACTAGTATCCTTGTAATAATTTAACCAAAATGACACTGTGACCCAGGGGAAGCAAGCAATGAAGGGTTTTTAAAACGGGCAGATAGCATTCAATACAGGTAATTCACACTGCAATTCAATGGGCTTTGAGAAAAAGAACTTTGAAAATACCTGGTAGTACAGGAAGTTATAGAAAAAGATTTTAGAAAAAGAAAATTACTTACTTCCTTCAGTATGAGCCTGGGGGTTCTTATACAGATGTTCAATTCGGCCAGTATTGAATGAACTGGATCTCCGTAAAATTCCATGAACCTGCATATTCATAGTGTGGAAAGATAAGAATAAACTATAAATGTACAATGAAGATTAATGAGCAACTCAGAACTTCTTTTGCTAATGTTTAGCTTTGTAAAAAATACATAACTGTTATTTACAAAAATTGCTTTTACATTGTAAACAAGTTCCACCGCTTACATTCCCCCCAACCACTGCCCCCCAGCCACCAGCACCCTACTCCACTTTTCACCAGTGTTTTTACTGCCAATCTCAACAAAAGTCATTGGATAATCACGTGACTTCACAGCAAGCACTTCCTGTTGGATACTCAAATGCCTCCTTTTTCAAGTACACACACTTACAGCCCTCCCGCTGACAAAAATATCTCCTAAATTTGAAACTGAAGACAGACCACATGAGCCCATATCAGTAAAACAGCCCCGTTGACCTCTTTCAGACAGAACATAAAGCTGAAAGGCTCTGCCACCACATCTTTTCAGTGTCTTTAGACCTTTGTATCTTACACCTAATATGCTTTGTGTATTTGTTTGTTTATTTATACATGCACAAACATATATATGTGTGTGTGTGTGTGTGTGTCCATGAATATCATCAGAGAGCAGCTGCTGTTACGCAGCTATGTGGAAAAGTAAGGAAGCTAAATAGCACAGGTTAGGGACAAGATTTATCTGCTACTAAAGACATGAAGAAAACTCAAGTGAAGTTTTTTTTACATTTATCTTTGAATAACAATGAAAACTGTGAGGAAAAATAAGTCAATAAAACAAGAATGCATACCTGTCTAATACTGAAGAAAAAGCTACTTGTGTCTGTTACATAAGATAAATTGTTTAAGGCCTGGTACCACTTCCTTCTTGTCAAGTCTGGTCCCTTTGTCTTAGTCAATGCTATTACCAGCTTAGTCACCAGCAACACAAGTTCCAGTTCTACTGGTGGCAGAGTTAATCTTTCACTTTTTTTCAGAAGTGTTACTTCTAATGTTGGATAGTATCATTTGCAGCTGAATACCCTTCTATATTTTAGCTCAATTGTTTTCTATTCCAAAAAAATTTTAATCCTTGGCATGACTCAAATATTCTAAATACAGTGGGAAATTATAACTACACAAGACTTTTCAAACAGAAAGAAATGCCATCATCATTTTATATGATACACACAAGAAAATTACGTCTGCAAAAGGATACAACACACCTACAATTAATAATTCTGTTGGTTAGTTGTTTTGTAGTCAACTACAGAGAAAAGCATCCATCTGTTCTTTTTTCCAAAAGAACTAAACCAAAGAAAGTTCGGTAAACATGAAAACATTTGGCAAAGAGAAGAACATCACAACCTTGGTTGACATTTCAGGAGGTAAAATCTAGGAAACATTAAATTGAGATTTGGGTATACATAGCGATTTCTTAATTGAGAACTAAAGAATATAGCACATTAAACTTAAGATTTATTCTATTAGATAGTCTCTCCAATTTTTCAAATTGTTACTTCATTGTAAAGTTGATCTGCTCTACAAACCTAATAAACATTGTTAATAGAAAACAAGTTCACAAATACACTTATACATAGAAAATTTGTTTACCACCACAGTTATTTTTGAAATACAGATTTTTCAGCTTTATTTCATTGGGTAGATGATAATTTATATGTTCTAAAAAGAGATCATTTAACTTTGACAATGAAAAAAACAATAAAAATGTGTTTTAGTGTATTTTTTCTCTTGATTGTTTAATTGTGGGTAAGTCATATATTACGGCAACTCAAAACAAAGAAATGCCACGTACATACACACTGTATACAAACATAAGGCTCTGATAAAAAAATTAATGATATTGATGGATGTATGAAAATTGGGCAGCTACAAAAGGTTACAGCATAAAATAACACAAGTATGACAATAAAACATTAAGCACTAATTGTTTTTTTTTCTAAATACCAAATAATGTGCTTTAATTTTCCCTCATGCCCAACTTTTGGTACATGTATGCAGGGAACGAAAGATTTGCCAAGTGCTTAATCCATGACAGCTGGTGTTGTTCTAAGAATTTAGGAGAACTAAGTCTGTCTGCTTCTGTGACAGGTGAAATACATACTTTAAAACAAGCCAAAATGTATGCAAACTGAATGATCTAGTTAAGTGGGATGTAAGTAGGATTTTTTTGTTTATTTTTGTAAGGATTTTAGGGGGGAAAAAGATGAGAAGTTAGAACACCAAAGTGAAAACATAGATGAGCTAAATGTGATTCCATATAAACTTAATCAAAATCATTATTAAATTACAGCAGTTCTAAAACAAAACATAGTTCTGAAAAACTGAGGACTTGAATGGGAGTATTTTGAAAAATACATGTCATATACCATTTAACCAAGTGATGAAAAGGAAAATTTCAGATACTCTCAGTGTCAAAACAAAGTTGGTTTGACTTCAAAACCTAGAGTGAGATTAGGCAGTACTTGAAGAAATCTTCCCTTCGTTTGTTCCTTCCTTCCTTTTCTTTCCTTTCCTTCCTTCCCTCCCTCCATTCCGCTCCCTTTCTCTCTCCCTTCTTCCATCCAAAACAGTCCATATTTATCTGTTTACTTATTTATTTAATATAGTCAAGAAAACTTTTTACCACTGAATTTCAACTTCTCCTGCATTCTCCTTCTTCCTGGAGGTAAGGATGCCTTCCAGGGATATTTAACACCTCTTGGTTTGTTTGTTGTTTTTTTTTTCTAAGTACATGTAGGTAACATCAATAGCCAACATGTATGTGGCAGTGATCATGTGCTCACTGTTTTTTATAGATATTAAATCACCTAATGTTCACAATACCCTTTCTATTACTACATGAATTCTACAGATGAGGATGCTGCCTGAGACTACACAGCTAGTAAGTGGTGGCATTAAAAACTGGACCCAACCCATCATGCTAGCACTCAGAATGGTTTCAAAATAAATTCCATAAAAACTTTTTTTCACCACTGATTTTGAGATTTGCAATAACCCAGAAAAAAGTAATTCAAAGATTCTCAAAGACCAAGAAATTCCATATCCTAACAAATAATTTATCAGAGATAACATTGGACAGGCTTTACATACTATTTTTGTTCTCCTGATCTCTGTAGTTGTACTACATTTCCCAGAAGGGAAACCCACAATTTACCAATTCTTTATGTTAAATTCTTTGTATGTTTTGGTGTGGTTGTTACCGAATTACATAATACAGGTTTTTCACATATTCCCAGGTAAATTCTTCTTTTTAAAATATTTTTTAATATATGTTATTGATTATGCCATTACAGTTGTTCTATTTCCCCCCTTCATTCCCCTCCACCCTGCACACCCCTCCCCCACCATTCCCTCCCTTTAGTTTATGTCCACGTGTCTCAAGTTCTTTAGATTCTATATTTCCCCTACTATTCTTACCCTCTCCCCTATCTATTTTCTAACTACCACCTATGCTACTTATTCTCTGTACCTTCTCCCCCCTTCTTCTCCTTCCACTCCCCTGTTGCTAACCCTCCATGTGATCTTCATTTCTATGGTTCTGCCCCTGATCTAGCTGTCCTCTTAGTTTGCTTTTGTTTTAGGTGTGGTCCTTAATAAGTGTGAGTTTGCTGTCCTTTCACTGTTCATATTTTTTATCTTCTTTTTCTTAGATAAGTCCCTTTAACATTTCACATAATAAGGGCTTGGTGATGATGAACTCCTTGAATTTGATCTTATCTGAGAAGCACTTTATCTGTCCTTCCATTCTAAATGAAAGCTTTGCTGGATAGAGCAATCTTGGATGTCGGTCTTTGTACTTCATGACTTGGAATACTTCTTTCCAGCCCCTTCTTGCCTGTAAGGTCTCTTTTGAGAAATCTGCTGACAATCTGATGGGAACTCCTTTGTAGGTGACTGTCCTTTCTCTCTTGCTGCTTCTAAGATTCTCTCCTTCATTTTAATCTTGGTTAATGTAATGATGATGTGCCTTGGTGTGTTCCTTCTTGGGTCCAACTTCTTTGGGACTCTCTGAGCTTCCTGGAAGTCTATTTCCTTTGCCAGATTGGGGAAGTTCTCCTTACTTATTTGTTCAAATAAATTTTCCACTCGTGGCTGTTCCTCTTCCCCTTCTGGTACCCCTATAATTCGGATGTTGGAGCGTTTAAAGATGTCTTGGAGGTTCCTAAGGCTCTCCTCATTTTTTTTGAATTCTTGTTTCTTAATATTTTTCTGTTTGGTCATTTTTTTCTTCCTTCTGGTTCACTCCCTTGATTTGAAGCCCAGTTTTCTTCCCATCACTATTAGTTCCCTGTGCATTTTCCTTCATTTTGATTAGTTTGGCCTTCATTTGTTCCTCTAATTTGTGACTAAAATCAACCAGTTCTGTGAGCATCCTGATCACCAGTGTTTTGAACTGTACCTCTGACAGGTTGGCAATTTCTTGTTTGCTTAGATTTATGGGCTCTGGGGCTCTGAGTTCTTCTTGAGCCATGTTTTGGTGTGTTTGTGCCTATTATGAATGAGGAGTGGAGCCTAAGGTGTTCACCAGGGCGGGGCCACCCAGGTTGCTGGGTTGTGAAGGTGTATGTGGGGTCAGGGACAAGGAGGGGCAATAGCAGTCCCCTCTGCTGCTTCCCACCGCTGGGACCTGAGCGGTCTGTCTCACTGCCCGCTCCTTTCCCTGGTTTATCTGTGCACGAATGTGTGACCTTGGTCAGCCTGCCTCCTTGCCCCCTCACTGGGTCCACCCATTGCTACCCCACACCTGGAATCTGCCCTTGGCTGCCTGCACACCTGGGTTGGGGGATCTTTCCTGTCCGACCCCACTCCACTGCCAGCTCTGCCCCTCTTACTGGTCTGGCTGAATGGTTCGTTGTTGTCGGACTTCTGTATAGTTCAATTTTCTGTGTTTTGGCTGCATTTTTTGTTGCTAAAACTTTGTTGTCTTTAAACTTGGTTGTGCGAGAAGGCACAATGTTTCCACCTACCCCTCCATCTTAGCAGAAGTCTCTAAATTCCAGTCTTTAAAGGGCTCAATTTTGTCTTT